TGCTCCGCGCTGTTGCTCTGCACGCGCGGTTGCCCGCGCCCTCGTGCGCTCTACCTACCTACCTACCTACCTGCGCCCTCGTGCCTTGTGCCTTGTGCCTTGTGCTTCGTGCCTCGTGCTTCGTGCCTCGTGCCTCGTGCCTCGTGCATCGTGCGCCCTGCTCCGCGCTGTTGCTCTGCACGCGCGGTTGCCCGCGCCTTCGTGCGCTCTACCCTACCTGCTCCGCGCTGTTGCTCTGCACGCGCGGTTGCCCGCGCCCTCGTGCGCTCTACCCTACCTGCTCCGCGCTGTTGCTCTGCACGCGCGGTTGCCTGCGCCCTCGTGCGCTCTCCCGCCCCGGCCCTCCCCCCCCCCCCCTGCGTCCCCTGGACAGGAGGGTGTGGGGGTGGCGGGTGTGGGGGTGCTCCGTGTGCGTCGCCCCTTCCTTCTCCTCCGTCTCCCACTGCTGCAGCTGCCGCTGCGGGGGTGGATGTGTGGGAGACGAGGGAGTGGCGCTAGGGGGGTGATGTGGGCGTGGAGCGAGTGGTGACCCTGGGGGTGTGTGTAGGGGGGAGTGAGACAGTTGGAGGAGGTTGCAGCCTGGTGCTCCTGGTGCCCGTGTGTCTGCAACTTCAGTAGTCGCCTCCTCTCTTCTCTCCCTCCACAGTTCCTCCTCCTCCTCACTGGCCTCCTGTGACTGCCACTAGCTTTGCTGATAATTGTGAACTATTGCTGTGACTTCTCACGTGTGCTGATTACACCCCACTTTGGCTATGGGGGTGTGTCAGATTATGTTATTTGTCTAGCCTGCAGTGGGGTGCTCCATAGTGAGTACAACCCCTTAGGGTTTCCTATATGTATCCTGCTGCTTGCTAGTTCAATCATCATTCCCATTCTCACTTCTCCAATTCTCCTTCGTATACCACAAACCCTAGTCCTAGGGCACAACCTACTACCTCCTAGTGTGGGCCTAGGCTACTAAGCCTAGGCCCCACTCCTAGTATTCCTGACATGGTATCAGAGCAGGTCGACCCTCCTGGGTCGATCCTGTGGGTGGGCCCACCACCTAAGCCTTCCGCTGCTACTGCTACTGCTACTGCTACTCCCTGTCCGCCGCGCGCCCCGTGGCGCGCGGCGTCGAAACTAGGGTTTTCAGCCCGCCGTGCGCCCCGAGGCACGCGGCGGTTTTCTGCCCGCCGTGCGCCCCGAGGCGCGCGGCGGTTCTCTGCCCGCCGTGTGCCCCGAGGCGCGCGGCGGGTTCCTGCCCCGTCACTCGGCACGTCGCCCCCGGGAGGCGCTGCGACGGGCGACGGGGACCCGCGCGTCGCCCCCCGTCGCCCGTCGTGGCCTGCGCGCGGCCCGTACACCCGGCACGCGGCCCGTACGGGCTGCGCCAGGCACGCGCGCGGCCCGTACGGGAAGCGCCAGGCCCGCGCGCGGCTCGGGCCGCCTGCGCGCGGTTCGGGCGGCTCTACCAGGCCCGTGGGCGGCCCGTTCCTCGCTGCTCCTGCCCTCTCCACTGTCCCCCGTGCTTCTACCGGCGCCTCACCCCTCCTACAGCCCGTTCTCCTAAATTAGGGTTTGGGGGTGAAGAGTGTGGGGGTGGCGGCTATGGGGGTGTCGGTTGTGAGTTCCTCCCCCTGCTCCTCCTCCTCCCTCGTCTCCCTCTGCTACAGCTGCCGCTGAGGGGGGTGGTGTGTGGGAGCCTAGGGTTTGGGGTTTAAGGGGGGTACCGTCGGAGTGGAGCTAGGGTGTCAGATGGGGGTGTGTGAGAGGGGCGTGGGACGGTCGGGGGAGATTGCGTGGAGGTAGCCGTCGTGACGCCAGCAGCGCCAGTAGTCCGGATGCCCTCGCGCGTTTCGGTAGCCCAGCGAGCCTGCTTCGCCAGTCGCCTGTGGGTCCGTTGCTCCTGTGTGTGCTCGTCGTAGCCGCGGAGCCAGATACTCCCGTAGTCCGGTGCCCTCGTGCGCTCGGTAGCCACTGTGCGCGCCGCTCCTGTTGCCCGTGTGTCTGCAGCTTCAGTCGGCGCCTTTCATCTTCTCTCCTCTCGCCAGCCCTCCTCCTCCTCGCTTGCCCTCTGTGACTGCCTCTAGCTTTGCTCATAACTGTGAACTTTAAACTATTGCTTCTTGAACTTGTGCTCAGAATGTGTGGTGACATTGTGATCCACCCTGAGCTTGTACTGCTTTGCTTGCTCTGCTGATTACACCCCACTTTGGCTATGGGGGTGTGTCAGAATGCTATTATTGTCTAGCCTGCAGTGGGGTACTCTATAGCGAGTACAGCCCAATCTAGGGTTTGCTATTTGTACTCAACTGCCTGCTAGTTCAATCCACTCTCTCCTTTCAATCATCCTTGCCTAGTGATTCTGACAGTCAGAATCCCAGCCACTAACCACTGGGATAAAAGGGCTTGTTTGTGTAGCGGGTGAGTGCGCCCATAACCCCCCAGGCCAACGTGCCTGTAACCCTTCCCTAGGATCAATCGGGGATCACCAGTGGACCTCTGACAAATTTAACATGCGCTTATAATAAATCAAGTTTTTTCAGGGGGTGCGCTTATAATTGAGGATCGGCCACAGGCCTCTGGTTAGGATTTGAGCCTCTCTTTCGCATAAGGCCAATGCTCCGTCTTCACTCTTTCTGAAAGGGTACCTGGCAGAAACACTCTTTCCTAGCAGGGTGCAGACTTATTTTACACATGGTATAAATTTGCTATACTTTCAGTGTCCTGTGTTGTAGTGGGTTCTGGTGTTAACTTGATGCTAAGGATGCAGGTTGGATACCCGACGTAGGTGAATCCCTGAGTTCTTGTGTTTTACGAGGGAAAAAGTGGCATCCCTGTTAGAGCGAACTCGGTTTCGTCAGTGTGTCTACACCTCTTAACTCTGAAATATCAGTGTCCTAGAACGAAACACTTTTTTTTGTAAGGGTCTAGAAATGAACCACTCTGAAAGAAAAGGGTGCATAATGAAAACCAGCCTTATAGTAAGTGTCATAAGGGTGATTCACCCTGTTACCCAGAGGCCTGATCGGCCATAAGCACATTGCTCCAGATAGAAGCGCATGCGCTTTTAATAGGCCTGCGCTTTTAATAGGCCTGCGCTTATATCCGGGGCCATACGGTATTCCTTGTCCTCCAGCAAGGGCCCATGATGATAGGTTTATGGCCACCCTGGAAAATCAGGGCGCCAGTCAGGCATAGAGCAAAAAACAATTACGATGACCTGGAAAATGTGGTTAGTGGCTGGGATTCTGACAAAATTTCACAAAAAAAATGTGAAAATAGTGTTACGGTTTTCCCTTTAACAGGTGGATGTGTTGCAAATTCGGTTCTCCTCACATTCGAACCCTGCATAGAATTCGAGTCCAGTTAGCATGAGCTGTCAGGGGCGCCTTGTCAGTCACATCGACTGTATCTGAAAGCCGGGCGAGAATTTCACTCACGACCCCTGTAACTTCGACTCGATTGAAAAAACAAACACGAGATCTACATTTTAGTGTTCGAATATAATAAATCTATACTTGTCATTTTATAAGCGCATGCGCTTATACAAACGACTCAATTAGAAGCGCACCCCCCCAAAAAACACTGATTTATTATAAGCGCACCTGCGCTTTTATCCGGGGTAAGTACAGTTCCATTCTGTGGTTGTCGAACGGGGTGTTGTTACACCCCAAAATGGGGGCAGGCAAAGCGAAGACCTGCCAACTTTGAACATACCCGCATAACAGGCCCTCGGAAGTCAGCGAAAAATGGCTGATTAGGGGTAAAAAGGCTGAGTTTTCAGTGCTGGGAAGGAGGTTGGGGCTGATGTGTCAGCTTTTATCTACTTGTATGGGCTGATTTTTCAGCAATTTTCTCATTGTATGGGCTGATATGATAGATTTTTTTTTAGATGTGCTCGCTGACTGATCAGCGGTGTAACAGGGGTGTGGCTGAAATCCCACTAGTAGAGACTCGTGTACCGTAGTGCCGAGAATTTCGGATTCCTAGGTTCGCCCGTCCCTGGTTTCCGGATGCAAGTGTTGCAGCTTGACTCGTCACTGCAGATTCGCCCTGACTCAGCAAATTCGCCTTTGAAACAACAAATTTGCCCCAACAGGGCAGATATTCGCCGCGTCAGAGCACAACAATTTCGTCCAATCACACGAAATTTGCTTTGACACAGCATGCTCTACCAGAAATTCGCCCAATCATAGGAAATTCGCCTATCGCGCGCACTGTTGTCGTCGACAGAGGTGTGTGTGTGTGTGTGTGAAGCTGTGTTGGCACGTCGTGTGCACTGTTGGCAGCACGTCGCGTGCCCTTTTATAAATGCCACACTTGACTGTCGCGCTATAGGAAAGCTTGAAGTTATGTTCAGCCTTTCTTTCTAAGCAAGGCTGAATGATCAGCCATTTCTCTAAACACTGAAATTTCAGCTTATTTTTCCAAGGCTTCCCTGATTGACCAGCCTTCCGCTCACTCCCAAGGCTGACGATTCAGCCTAGGCCAAAATGAATCTGAGGCCCTGCCGCATAACCTACCCATGGGTCTTATACTGCAACGAGCGGCTTACCGTAATTTGGAAAATTACGGTTGTTCTGCGTGAGAAATTATGCATCTTTGTGCAACCAGTCCATCCCAAGTTGCTCCCAAAATGGCGAACAATTTGACTCCGTATCAACTCGATAGCTCTTAGTACTGTACTACATTGCGTACCGTATGTGCAACTGCTACCTTGTAGTAATTGTTCAGAATGCTAACCGACTGCTATACCAAGAACAGGAACCGAGAATGCTGTTAACAAAAACAAATAGATGGTACATACCGTATGATGCCCTGTTTTGGCAAAGTTCATTTCACGCACTGGTTGCACGGGCAGAGCGTCTGTGTAGGGGAAGGGCTCTGCCATGTGTAGCAGCACGCATTTGTGTGTGTTGGCACGCCTGTGCAAGTATGTATGAGTGCACCAGCACGAGTGCAACTCCATGTTTGGAAGAACTCCTGGCCCGTATTAGCAAGGCATGGGGACCATGTCAGGCCTCCTCTTGCAGGGCTTGTTTGAATGATGCTGCCTCTCCCTCCTGCACATACCCAAATCGGCTGGTCTGGCCTGGAGCCAGCGCACCACCTCCTTCCACAACTCGGTAGGCATTACCAGCTCGCACGAGGCCCCAAGCACTGCAAGAAACAAGTGCAAGGCCCAAGGGGTCAAATCAAGAGCCAAAATGCTGCTAGCATGAGAGAAAAGGCTCTGTGTAACAGGGGTGTGGTGGGTGGGGTGATGCGGCGGTGCATGAGCACACATGCCTTGTGGGGTGATGCGGTGGTGCATGAGCACACATGCCTTGTGGGGTGATGCGGTGGTGCATGAGCACACATGCCTTGTGGGGTGATGCGGTGGTGCATGAGCACACATGCCTTGTGGGGTGATGCGGTGGTGCATGAGCACACATGCCTTGTGGGGTGATGCGGTGGTGCATGAGCACACATGCCTTGTGGGGTGATGCGGTGGTGCATGAGCACACATGCCTTGTGGGGTGATGCGGTGGTGCATGAGCACACATGCCTTGTGGGGTGATGCGGTGGTGCATGAGCACACATGCCTTGTGGGGTGATGCGGTGGTGCATGAGCACACATGCCTTGTGGGGTGATGCGGTGGTGCATGAGCACACATGCCTTGTGGGGTGATGCGGTGGTGCATGAGCACACATGCCTTGTGGGGTGATGCGGTGGTGCATGAGCACACATGCCTTGTGGGGTGATGCGGTGGTGCATGAGCACACATGCCTTGTGGGGTGATGCGGTGGTGCATGAGCACACATGCCTTGTGGGGTGATGCGGTGGTGCATGAGCACACATACCTTGTGGGGTGGAAGCCCTGTGCCGTGAGGCGCATGTGGGCCAGCGTTGTGGTGCCGTCGTTGCGCAGCAGAACCATGTACTGCGCCATGCTGCGCCCCTGCACGTCCTGCCACTGCGCCGTCACCACCGTTGTCACCGACACCTGCCACTGGGAAGCCCCTCTGCCTGCTGCTGCCATGCTGTTCAACCCTTGAGGCTGCTGTGCCTTTATCCCACCGCCACTTACACCAGTTACACCACTATCGCCTGTCCAGGGGCTCACGCCTAAGTTGGCATGCTGTGCGGTGTGCATGGGGATGGGGCCATCTGGGGTGTCCTCGGCATCGCGCACTGATGCAATGAAAGTCGTGGATGGGCCTTGTGTGCCTGCACCACACGTGCAAGGGTATGGAATGCAACGGCCAGAGGAACAACACAGTGAGATGCATGTTGGACCATCTGAAGAGGGTTGGTGCTAGGTGTATGCGGCATGTGTCGGAGAGTGCAGGCGATACGTGCACACAAGCATTGCTGCTGCAATAAGCTGTGACAACATGAATCAGCGCTCTTTGGCAGATCATGGCATTCCCAACATGTCTGACGAGCCTCCCTGGAGCCAGTTTTATGCACTCACCCGTGGAATCGGCACGGTTGAATCCAGAATTGTTGCTGCCCGACTTGTTGCTGCCCGACTTATTGCTGCCAGATTTGCTGCTACCCGACTTATTGCTGCCTGATTTGTCGCTGCCCGACTTATTACTTGTTTTGTCGCTGCCCGACTTATTGCTGCCCGACTTATTGCTACCCGATTTATTGCTGCCAGATTTGTTGCTGCCAGACTTGTTGCTGCCAGATTTGTTGCTGCCAGACTTGTTGCTGCCAGATTTGTTGCTGCCCGACTTATTGCTGCCCGAATCATTCCCGCCTGGCTTTTTGTTGCCCGACTTCTTGTTGCCAGACTTGCTGCTGCCACCGCTGCCCTTGTTGGTACCATTTCTGTACTTCATGTCCCCACTACCCTCACCGCCCTTCTTCCCATCTTTATCGGGCTTCTTCCCACTGCCACTCTTCTCGGCACCCCCCTTATCACCCGTGTCGCCACTCTTGCTCCCGCTGCCGGAACCCCGCTGCCCCCCGCCTTTATTTCCGCTGCTTCCATCCCTTGTACCGTTGCCTCCACCCTTGCCCTTCCCTCCGCCCCAGCTGCCTCCACCAGGCTGCTGGTTGGGCGGCAGGGGGGCATCGGCGGCGAGGAGGCGGGCGAGCGCGCCGACGAGGGGGCTGTTGACGTACGTGGAGACCTCGCTCTGCTGGTAGTTGTCGCGCTCGTCCTTGTACGCGTCCATGTTGTCCGGCCCGCCCACCACTGCGCCCACCAGCACGTTCGCGTTCGGCGCCTGCGCATGCCGCGGGACGGCGGGTGTTGCATTCGCGATAATGAGCGGGCAGGCATGGGGTTAAAGGTGGTATAACTTGCTGGGAAAAAGAGGTGGAGTGGGAGGGTGAGGAGAAGATGAGAAGGCAGGCGAACAGAAGGGAAGAGAGCAGGTGGGGGGAAGGATATGACAGCAATGAGTCCGTGAGAGCACTTGCGCCGCGTCACCGGCGAGAGCATGGAGCGCGGCGTCGCATGGTCGTGGCGTGGTGCCAACGAGCGGGCGATCGTCAGGGCGAGCGCGCTCACCTGCGTGTGGAACCATTTGAAGCCCTCCTCGCACCCAATGGGGCGCGGGTCCTTCTTTATCGACACGATGGACGCGCCGCGGTGGTGCACGCGCATCGGGAACGACGCGCCGTACCCGACCATGTAGCTCATGCGGCGCGGGTTCTCGCCCAGCAGGTAGCTCATCTGCGCGGCGCACAGGGGCAGGCGGAAATGAAGACTAGGCACGCAGCAATGCCCTCTCGCTCGCTCTGTCTCATCCCTTCATCGCTCCCACTGCCGCTTATTTCAACCCTCTTTTCTACTCACGTGCCTTATGCTCCTCGCACTCTCTCTCACCCCCATCCCCCGACTGCCCCCACTTCCCCTCCCTTGTGTGTCAGCTGTTCCTATTCCCCTCGACACCTGTTTGCCGACGAACTTGCGCATGGCGGCGGGGGTGACGGCGGTGGAGTCACACTGCACGGACGCGACGCCGGCGCGGTCGAGGTAGTCGCTGTAGACGGCGAGCAGCAGCGACACGGCCGTCACGTACTGCAGGTTGCTCCACGGCTGCACGAACAGCAGCCCGCCTGCACCACGCGGGGAGATGGGGATGGATGGGGAGTAAGGGGATGGAGGGAGGAGTAGACAGGTGAAGAGTTTAGGGGGAATGGAAGAGAGAGAGGGTGGCGAGGATGGGAGAGGAGCGCGGGAGCGCGGTAGATAGGACGTGAGCGCTGGTCTGCGCGGAGGAGCGGCGGAAGCACATGGGCGAGCGCAAAGGCAGGCTGTGTACCGCTGTCCGTGGAGCACTGAGCGCGCGACTCACCTGGCGTGCGGGTGCCGCGCACGACGGTGGCGCACACGAAGTCATTGGCGCGCAGCTGGTAGCCGTACAGCGCGGGGTCGCGCGCCTTGAAAAATACCTGCACCGCAACAGCACACGGGCACACCAGGGGGGAGGTGGCACAAGCGGGAAGTGGAGCAGCGAAGGCGGGTGAGGCGACACGTGCGCGGAGGTGGCGGCCAGGCAATGAGCGCTTGTGGTGGTGATGCGCGGTTGGCGTACCTTGGAGAGCAGGATCTGCGCGCCGGCGAACTTGTTGTCCCAGGAGAAGGCGTTCATGGCCGTGGTGGCGCCCTGCAGCGTCTCGTTGTTCTTCCTCACGAACGCCAGATACTGCGCCTCGCCCGTCGCGCGCTGCAGCCACGCCGCCGCCCACAGCAGCTCGTCCTGCCGCGATAAAAGGGGGAGACAGTGGAGCGCGCGCGCAATGGCGTCTTGCAATGGAGAGGAGCAGCGAGACGCCATGGAGCGCACAACCACACTCGATCGGGTGGCGTGACGCACACGGCAATGGGCAGAGGTGGCGCGAGCGGGTGAGGGGCGGCTCACATTGAATCCGGAGTAGGAGTTGTAGAAGGCGGCGGCGGACGGAATGCTGCTCACGTACGACTTGCGGTACGTGTTGGCGAAGTTGAATAGCTGCGCGCACACCGTGGATAGCGGGTGTCGGGGGGGTATGGGGAGGGTTGGCTGAGAGTGCATCACATGGAATACAGGAGGGATGGGGTGAAGGTGCATGCGAGGAGAAGAGGAGGGAGAAAGAGGGCGAAAGGGCGTGCGGGCGTCAAGGCGAGCACCACGTGCTCCACCACCTCCTCCGTGCCCACCGCACACAGCAGCCAAAATGCATCTACGCTCGTCACCCTCTTCTTCCTGCCCGCCTCTCTCGAAGACAAACCTATTGCACTGCGACGTTAGGCGCGAGCGGCCAGACCGGCCGTAGCGACGGTGGCGACGTACGGAGAGAGGAGTAGAGGCACTGCGGCATGGAGATGGAGGAAGAGGCAATCCAGAATAACAGTCTAGAGATGATGGGAGAAGACACAAACAAAAAAGGAACATACTGACGATACGACGGAGGGCGACTGGGAACGGACTATGTGTCGCACGTCGTATAGCAACTCGGCATATGGCATGTATGCCCCGCTATGCTGATCGAGGCCCTGACAGGGTAGCAACCGTTGCTTTTCCTGCTAAGAGCGTTCCAGGAATGCTTTCATTTGTCTTTCTGCCCCTCCTGCGCACCTCCTTGGCGTGGCGAATCAGCTCCCTCGAGTACTCTTCGTCGCGCGACGCGAAGGCCATGCTGGCAGCTGCGAGGGCGGCGGCGGCCTCAGCGGCGACCTCGGTGCCGGGGTTACTGGCGTCCAGGCGGAACGCCATGCGCGGCGTCGTCATGTCCTCGGGCCGCTGCCAGCACCGATGGTCCGACGGGCCGTCGCCCACCTGTAGTACGTCAGGTGGTACGCAGTGAGAACGAGGGGAGGTTAGAGGTCAAACCGTTGAGTTACGTATTGTAGGAAGATGATGGCGGGAAGGTCGGAGGGTGAACGAGCACGGGGGAAGTGGATGTGAAGCACCCACTGCTCGCCCAAATGGCAGGGACTGGACGGGCCTGCGCAGTGGCAAGAGGCGATGGACACTGCGAGGTCGCCACAGGCACGGCATTACAGTGGACGAACCGCCGGCCATGGCAGCTGGCGGCACAGTGCTTGGGCTGAGGAGATGCAGGAAGTGAAGTGCGCGGCAGTACCTGCGCGTACAGCACGTTAGGCTGCGGGTGCGCGCTGATGAAGAAGTCGGTGCCCCAGCGGATAGCGTCCAGCGCATGGTCCAGCTGTCCCTGTGCCGCCAGTGTGCTTCCGTACTCCACCACGCTCCACGCGAGCGTGGTGAGGGTGAACGCCATGGGCAGCCCGTACTTGACGTTGTCGCCGCTGTCGTAGTACCCCTTGGTCAGGTCCACCTGCCACCGTGCGCACAGCACAACCAGCGCATTCCGCTATGGCATGGGAAACAGAACTCCTAGTACCTCCACTGCTGCCCCAGGCTACGCTGTATGCGCAACTTCTTGCACGGGAAGGAAGAGCACGCATATAGAAAGCGGCGAGGAACATCATATTGACCAAGTGGCAGCTGCACTAGGAACATCAGATTGAAGTAACAACTTCCTCTCACAGGATATCTCCCACACGGTGATTCCCACCTCACACATTGTATGACTCACCCCGACGTCCTTTCCGTCCTTGAGTCCTGAGTCGCCGCGCCATTTGGCTCTCTGATCTGGAGGAAGCTTGCCGCTGCGCTGCTGCTCGAAGAACAATATGCTCTTTCGGAGCGCGTCCTCTAAATCAGCCGGTTTTACAAGTTTCACAGAGCTGAGAAGGATCAGTGATGGTAACAGAAGTACCAAAACCGATCGAACAGGTGCTTGCTGACGCATCGTTGTTCTTTTGAGAAACTAACTGGGATGCCTACTAGTGACTAATGTCCTTACAGCATGCGACCTACGCCCCACTGGAAATGTAGGCTATGTTGCACAGTGAGGCACCAGGTGAGCAAGTCGTAGCAGCACGGAAGTATATTGAAAAGCAGTTACTGACCAGGTGAGAATCGTCATATTACGACACGGTTCAGCGTAGCAGCCTAAGTTTGTTAGGGGCGAAATGGCGGGTGTGATTTGCATAATCTCCAGAAATGTGGAAGTTTTGCCATTCCAGTACCAGAGCACTAGAAATGTTGAAGCGCATTTGCGTCGTAAGGCTAACTAACAAACCAAACACATTGGGCGCTACGAGACCCGACGGCGCCTTGCTCACCAAAACACATTGTACCTCACCACGCCGGATGTGCCCATTCACTCCACGACATCTGGACCAGTTTGGTCTTAGGCAAGCCAAGCTGGTGTGGGGCAAACCAAATTTTCTTGTTCGGTATAGCTTCGGATTCTAGCGAAAGACCACGTCAGCGGTCATGTGGTTGGACGTCACACTTTCCGTGCCTCAGATTTGGCGCAAGCCGTGGCACGGCAATCGTCTGTCAGCGCTCGCCATGAACATCGTTTTGGCTACGTGTGATGGGTAATGGACGAGTGTTCACGTTTCATGAAAAGTCTTGAGATTACACTGATATGTCCTGGTGGTTTTAATGAATGGATGAACCCCGCCACTCCCACCAGCGTTTGCAACTCAATTGCCACCACACCACTGAAATTGCTTCTTATTGCTGTAAGTGAAAGATACACACTTATGCAACTTTTTGCGAATATCCGTGAACTAGTATTTTCATTAGCCAAACAGACAATAAGGAACCGCCACGGTGCAGCTGGGTTGTGAAGAGAGGGATAGACGGAAATCGTTGGGTCAAGGCGGCCCTCTGGTTGATGGCTTGGGTCTTGGCTTCGGTAGGGCCGAACCAACACCACGATTAGGCAAGAATGGGTGGAGGCTCTGGCGTTTGTGAACGTGGGGAAACACACAGCTCAAGTACCCTGGAAGAGCTCCACGAGAGACTTAGAATCTACACCAACTTAGATGGGTTGAGTAGGGTATAGGTAGAGCAAGTATGTAACTATGGTGCAGAACCAGCTAACCACAAATTGCTAAATCCATCACCTAGAATCTATAATTACTCACACAGATTCAATATGTTACAAATAGTAAATTCAGAAGTACTGTACACTCATGCAGGTGGCAAACAAAGAACGCAATTGCTGCGATCAGCAGTTGATCGTGGCCTAGGATCTACTCAGGAAGGTTCGCACGCAGTGAGATAGTTTGGTGGGCCCTTGACCTCAATAGCAGAGTGAATGTAAAATGCTTGAGATGAATAAAACATGCAAATACAAGAAATATAAATATGAGTACAGGGGAATACGAAACGACCTAACTAGCCATGTACTCTAAGGGGTACATTCCCTTATTCAAATTCATTCCCAACCGTGCGGCGCGTACAGTTTTGTAACTGTTCCCGCCAAAACCATCCTGCCTGAAGCTGCCCGATGCCATCTGCTCCGACGGTCCAGATGTGCTGTAACCGTCTGACTCTTCGGTTCAATTCCAACCGTCTGACGTTTCGCGTTCGTTCCCGGTATTGCGTGCTTCTCTTTGCTGCGGTGAGGAGTGCACAGTAATATCAAATATTACGATTCGTAACACCCCCCTTCACTCCTGGCCGTAGCTCGACTTGACCTGCTTGACCACGCCGCTGAGTTCGGAGCAGTGCTGATACTGCTGGCGTGGCAGTCGCTTCGTGAGGAAGTCTGCTGCCATGTCACTCGTCGGGCAGTAGGTCAAGTTGACCTTGCCCTTGTCCACCTCGTCCTTCACGAAGAAGTACCGCAGCGCGATGTGCTTGGTGCGGTTGACGAAACCAGGTTTGTTCGCGATACGAATCGCGCTCTGGTTGTCGCAGTGAAGGCGGAAGGTCGGCGAAGTCGGAATTTTCGCCTCTTGCAGGAGTTCCTGCAGGTAGAGGCCTTCGCGAACTGCTGCGGTTGCTGCGATGAATTCCGCTTCGGCTGATGACAGGGCAACCAATTCCTGCTTCTGTGAATTCCAGGAGATTGGTCCCGATGGCTCGAGTCGGAACAGGAAGCCGGTCCTCGACGTCGATTATCAGGGTCTGCTGCGTGATCGGCGTCCACGTAGCCGACGAGGTTGAAGGATGGAGTTGGTGCAGTTGAGTAGCACAACCCAATCTTGGGCGTTGAAACGAAAAATTGGAGAGCGCGCTGCAGGTCCAGATGATTCTCAGCCGTTGGTTTGCGTGAGTACTGCGCCAGCTGACTAGCGATGTACGAGAGGTCTGGCCTGCAGGTGACAGAGGCGAAGAGAAGGCATCCCAGCTGCTGCTGGTAAGTCTGAATCCCAGCAGGGGACAGGGCTTTGTTGTCAGGTTTGTGGTTCGGTCCGGGGGTGCGATAGGGAGTTGAGAGAGATGCCGGTGAAATGTTGAACCGCTTCCCTAACTCCTCTGCGTACTTAGCCGCTGAAAGGTGAATGGCCTCAGGAGCGTAGGAGATGTTGAGGCCTAGGAACTGCTTCACCTCGTAGTTGCACGTAATGTCGACGCGCCCCGCCAAAGCCTTCTCGAACTGTTCGAGGAGCTCGTTGTTCGACCCTGTGTAAAGCAGGTCGTCGACATACACCGTGAGAAAGATGTATTCGCCGCGGAAGTCGCGGCGGTACATCCCTGGGTCGTGCGGCATCTGCTTGAATCCAATTTCAAGCAGGATGTTGTGCAGGTACTGCTGCCACAGCCTCGGAGCCTGCTTAATGCCGTAGAGTGACTTGCGCAGCTGACACACGCGCGAGTCTCCTTCGCCGTAGGTGTGCGGCTGCTCCACGTAAATCACGGCGTCCACTAACGCGTACAGGAACGCGTTCTTCACATCGATCTGGCGAAGTGGCAGGTGCCTTGCAGCTGCGATGGCGAGCAGAATGCGGACGGAGGTGTGACGGCTAACCGGGGCGAACGTCAGATCGAAGTCGATCCCGTGCCTCTGATCGTAGCCGCGAACCACCCAGCGCGCTTTGAAGCGTTCGATGGTTCCATCCGCTGCGGTCTTCACGCGGAAGACCCACTTCCCCGAGAGGATCCTTGCGCCCTTGATTGCTGCGCGGTCGACGAGCACCCAGGTGTCGCGTGACTCTAGTGCCTTGATTTCCGCGTCCATCGCCTCACGCCACTCCTTGCTGTGTGGTCCAGAGAGAGCTTCGCGCGGGTTTCGAGGCTCGATGATGCGCGGCGCCTTCGAGGTTGCGGTGTGGAGCCCGAGCAGCTGCAGTCCTGAGACGGTGCTGTCGTGGCGACGTTGCGGGATCACTTCTTGCACATCGTCGTCATCGCTCTCAGGTTCAGGTGGTGCTGGTGGTGCTGCGCCTCCGCCGCTTCCGCCTGTTCCGCTTCCGCCTGTTCCGCCTATTCCTCCTCCCGAGGAATCATCGTCGTCGTCGTCGCTGCTGCGCCGATCCTCCCATGCGAATTCTCCCCTTGTATCCTGCTCCAGGATTGCTGCAGCGGCTTCGTCTTCAGGCGTTGCGTAGCTGTGGCCGCTGTTGACGTAGACGCGATTCGCGTTCGCCTGCTCGTCGCGGCGGAACTGGTCGAGGAAGAGACGCTCGTAGAAGATTACGTCGCGAGCGTGAGCGGTTTTCTGACTGAGGAGGTCCAGCACGATCCACGCCTTGTACTCGTGACTGATGCCGAGATGGATTTCCCAGCGCGCGCGGCTGGCAAATTTGCCGATGGTTGAGGTTGGTGGGCGGTACTGTGTTAAAATCTAGCAGCAGGAATGAATGAACTAGCAGGATGCAGGAGTACAAGTAGTAAACCCTAATTGGGTTGTACCCCATATGGGCTACCCTACTACAGCCTAGACAATATGCACACATATAGTTTGACACACCCCCATAGGCAAAGTGGGGGAGAACAAGGGGTCACACGACCAGTCAAGAGAAGCAAAACAAGCTCAGGGTGGATCACAACGTCACCACGCATTCCGAGCACAAGCAAAGGGCCACAAGGCCAGTTCACATGCAGAGATATATATGCAGCAATAACAATACAGTGATGACTACCTAGCAAGAGCCAGCATGCAGGTATATATATAGATCACAGTACAAGCAGAGACTACAGCAAGTGTGGAAACGTAGGTACAAGGCCTAACAGAGTACAAAAGCGCTGATGATCACCAGACGGAAGTGCCTTGGTGAATATATCAGCAGTGTTGGCCCGAGTGGCCACGTGGCGAAGACGAAGCTGGCCTTGCTGCTGCAACTCTCGAGCCAGGAAGTAACGCAGAGCAATGTGCTTCGTTCTGTGCTCCAGTCTGTGCTCCTCACACAAGGCAATGGCGGCCTTGTTGTCGACGTACAGCACTGGAGGAGAACGAGGCTGCTCTCCCAAGTCAGTCAGCAGGTAGGTCAGCCAGCGTAACTCCTGTGCAGCCATGGCTGTGGCGTAGATCTCAGCCTCACAACTGGAGCTGAGAACTGAAGACGAGCGTGTAGAACGCCACGAAACTGAACCAGAGCCAAGGCTGAAGGTGTAACCCTGTGACGACCGCTGAGTAGCCTGGTCGTCAACCCAAGAAGCGTCTGAGTGCCCAGTGAGGACAACTGGGCTCGTCCCTCCAAGCACTAGCCCCATGCCTGATGTGCTGCACAAGTAGCGCAGTACCCTCTTAGCAGCAGCCATGTGCTCAGGTCGGTGCCGACCAGGAGCCACGTAGCGAGCCAGAAGACCAAGAGGGTACGCGAGGTCAGGTCGAGTGCAAGTCATCAGGTACATGAGGCAGCCGACTAGCTCTGGGTAAGGACCACTCGGCTCTACGGACTCGTCCGAAGGTGGAGCTGAGAGCGTGTGACCTGTAGCCAGAGGAGTGGCCTGTGCTGAAGACCAGGTGAAGCCGAAGCGCTGAAGGACCTGCTGCACCATGTG